CCAAATATTTACCCATTCGAGAAAAGTCTGGTTCTTGGAAATTTGGCTAAATCTTGTTCCAGGATCATGTTGGAAAAACCTCAGAATACACCAATGAAATATGTTACACGCGAACAATTCCCCCAGATGTTATGCATTGCAGTGGCCTTGATGTGAACATTTTGACTCACAGCAGAGCTAAGGAGAGGTAGAAGAGTGAACTGGTGCACTGGTCCCAGGAATGAAGGGCATCCTTCATGAGAAGAGGGCATGGAACAGGTCAGGAAATTCTGGGATTCCCAGCACATAGCTTCTTATCATAGCCATGGAGCTATGTGGAATCAAGCTGAGGTTGCTGAGGTTATTTTTCACCATTATTGCTTCATTATATGAAGCAATAATGGTGAAAAATAAAGGCTCTTTTTCCCACTTTGAAATGATTAACACTGGATTTAGAAGACAAAAAATACATTCTTATGGGGCTAAATGAATATACCATTCTGGATGATTTTCCAAGTCTGACTTTTGTCCAATGCAAGCCATATTTACAGGGTAGTCTCTTGCTCATCACTGGCTATGAAAAAAATTCTCTTTGGAATTCAGTGAAGGAAAAGAAACAAAACCCCAAAATACCAAAAATTAAGGGCAGCATTGGATGAAAATAATAAGGACCATTTCACACATAGAGAAGAAATAAGGTCTATGGAGAATGGAGAAGTGGAGGCATTTGACTGACTTAGATAGCAGAGATCTGTCACTCATCCCTATGAGGAAAGAGACATCAGTATCTCACAAGGTGACCTGGATTATATCTACAAGAGCCATCGAGTATTAYAGCTACAACCCAGGCCATTCTTTCTGCCAAGGATGGTGAAGCAACACAGATATACTTATTTACACACTGCATGAGACTGATGCCCATGATGTGCACACTTTATAAAGTATCACAGGCTATTAGAGTCTACAATAGGCCTAGGTGGTAACTGGGCTATGCACACACCTACTGTTACTCCCATGACAAGTATTTTCTCATTATGTATGGCCAAATGTTAAGTTCCATTTAACCTTGAACATGCATCTTTAAGGGATTCCCCAAAGATGGAGGAGTTGAAAAGGGGATGAAGTGGATTCAGTAGACCAGTAAAACTAGATTGTGAACTGGGATTCATGGAGAGTTAATATGTTTACTGTATAACTAAATCCAAAAAATCAGTTAATTAGTAAAGAGTGGACAGCAACTAAAAGGGAATCAAGAAAGTAAATTGAGACCTAATCACCCTAAGTGTGCTTCAGACAGTGGTAAAAGCAACCCTGGGTTCAATCCCCAGTACCAAAAATGTCATCAATAAAAAATGTGAATGAATAAAAAAAGGAACTCACCAGGTTTACTAACTGTGACTGTGCTTTGGCAAATGAAGGCAGGGCTCAACTGGCAGCTCTGCTGCAGACTGCTGGATTGGGCTCCTCACTGCAGGATGTACTCAGGTCTGCTCTATGTGTTTTCATTCAGGGGTCCATGCTAAGTGGACATTAACTATCAAAGGCATGTTCTCATGAAATGTGACCCATGTCCAAGAACTCAAGTCCAACCATGCAAGAACTTTTTAATGCTCTTACTTAATATTTATTGATTGACCAATTCAAGGCATGTGACTCAAAGTCAAGGGGCAAAAAAAATACATTTTGGCCACTATGAAGCCATGCAAGTATGTGGATGCATAATTTGATCACAAGAAATGAGAAACTGAAGGAAAAACTTGATCTCCAACAATCCTCTTAAGTTTTATTTTTATTCAAGCTCAATATTCCTTTTTTTCAATTACACTTTATAGGACAGTTTCTAGATCTTTCAGCATGCTGACCCTATTCTTCCATGTGAATTTTAGTACTTCAGCATTCCTGTTAAATCACAATGATTACAAGTCCACATGTGGTCTTACCAGTACTGATTTTGCCCAGTGAAAAGCTTTAGTGGCAAAAAAGTTTTAAAATGTATCTAGATAAGAACACTGTTCAGAAAATATAAAAGAAATGAAATGGTTTGGGAAGTTTAAAAACATCAGCTGTCCTTTTAAACTGAGTAATAAATTAAACATTTTTTCCCTTCTAAAGTACAAGGGAGATAATTCAGAGTAATATTCAAGAAATTATCCTCTAAATTCTGTTTTCTAATCTCAGGAACCAAATTTTCTACCTTGATAACATTCTTAGGCCACTTTGGAGTTTATAAAGCCCTTAAATATATTTTATCTAAATTAATTTAATTCTTAACAACTCTGAACTTGGCATTACTTTTGCCCTTYCTGAAAGATACTTCCTTTACCTAGTGAACAATGTCTTTCTCACTGCCAGGCCTAAAGGGAAGAGGCCTCTTYCCTCTGCCTGGAACATCCTTCCTGCACAACCCCCTTCCTTTACCTGCCTAGTTACCATTATCTTTAAGTAAATCTCAACTGCATGGCAGTCCATAAGCTGTGCCTAGCTTTCATTTTTCAGTAAATATTTATTGAGTGCCATCTAGAAACAAAGGACTCTACAAGGTACTGGCGATATAGCAGTGAACATAACAGTATAATCCTTGCGCTTACATGGCTTAGCATCCAACTGGAGAGAGAGACATTAAACAAATAATTACACCACTAGCTAATTAATCACAACAGTGGTAAAAGGGATAAAGGCAAAATACTATACTATACTATCTCTTCCTTATTGTAGCATTTATTATGCTTTATTATAATTAGCTATTTGTCTCTATTCACCAATATGGATGAAAGGTATGACTATCAACTATATTTTCATAGCTTGGTATAACTCCTACTGAATACAAATACCAAATAAATATTTATGGAGTAGTTAAATAATCAGACGGACTTGCTCCAACTTCTAAATTAATGAGCTAGGAAAAGACTTGAATTTGGGATTCTGATTCCAATACTTCCATCTCTATTCAGCATTTCCAAGAAATTACAATGATTCTAATAATTCAATGCTAGCTTACTACATAACTATAAATGAAAAAGACTTAACTCATACATATTATTTATAAACTATGCCTTTCTRTAACAAAAACCTATGTATATACAGGTATTATATAATGTGTATCTTATTAATATACACTAATATAGATATACTAATGACCTCAYATTCCTATTTATTTTGACTGTTACTTAGGCATTTATAATGGAATATGTTAAAAATATAAATTTACAAATTTAACTGCAAAATTAAAAATGAGCTTGTGTCTAAATAAATGGTTATAGCAGTAATTGCAAATAATATACAACAAAAAWACAAATATACATATAATTTGGGGTTATGCTTAAATAAAAATCAATTTCTTAAATGTATAATTCAAAGTTTATGCTTCAGAGAATAACAATAAGAAATTCACTTATTATAAAATAATGGCTGTTCTTTCATTCTGTAGGTCATATTCACAGCATGGCCAGTCTATTATCCAAACCTGGCTAAAGACATTATCTTACTGAATATTGAATTTTTCTTTGAGTTCACAGAAATTACAAATACAACAACAGTGGTAAAAGGGATAAAGGCAAACGTGCTAGTAAATCTTTTCTTACACTCTTCCAAAAGAATAATTTTAAGTTGGACTTTTGAAAACCCGACTAGTTCATTGAAGGGAATTAGCACCATCTAGTGAAAGAAATTGGTAAAATTTGAAAATGAAAAGAAAATAGTTTCTGTAAGCAAGGTAACCAAGCTGTGTAAAAAATATATAAAACTAGAGTTTTATTAACTTATACTGAACTTTAACASACACCAGGTATTAATATTACATTTGTATAAATATAACCCTCAGCACAATCATTTAAAATTTTTCTAGAAATATTCCTGTTATCGAATATTTACAAGGAAGATAATTTGCTATGTTGAAGGTGCCATTAAATAAGTACGATTGATTAACACACTTCCTGGTCCTCTAACTTGCAATCAGAGTTAAAGATCCTTCACTTTCTTCTACAGATGTTGGAAAGTCAAAAACTTCTGAAACTGGGCAAATTAGTTTGGTTACTGCATATAGGATGAATTCACATGAAAATGTGTGTAAAGGGAAGACTAACCAGTTGCGGGTTGATGGCATTAATCTAGAGAGGAGATAACAAAGTCTGAACTGAAATGAAAACAAAGGGTCTAGGGAGAGTGGTGAAAGTTTACACTGGGTTTGGGGGTCATGACAACATGAAGAATGTCTCTTATGTAGCAATTTTTTAAAAAATTTGGTCATACCTCTTTATGTCTCTTTAACATCATCATCTTAAACATTTTTTACTTTTTTTTTTTTTTTGCCTTATTCTCCCTACTAGAGGACAAGCAGGGAGCTTTTACATAGAGGTTAATAATGATGGAATTAAAATAATGTGTGAGGGTCACTTATTTTAATTGTATAACTGCTGTAGAGATAACTAAAAACACAGTGGAGTTTTCCCCTCTATCTTTAAAAGTCTTCATGYAGAATTTAGGAGAAATATTAATTATGCATATTAGTAACTCAAATCTGCAATTGTTGCATCATGATGAAAATTTTTAGCTAGTGGTTGAAAAGAAATTTGAGTTAGTCCTTTTATACTGCATCTTTGGATAAAAATATCAATTCATTGGTTTTTCTTTTCCTCTTAATTTCAAGATTAAATTATACTGGCTATCTCCCAAATGCACTAAGATGTAAATTAAGTGAAGATTAGGAYTTATAAAATTACAAATACCAAAAAGAACATATAGCCTATGGAAATTAACTTCTAATAAATACTTCAACTATACAGTAACATTGTTAGAATAACAAAATAAAACTACATTTTTTACAAGCTCAATTTCACTTAAAATTCTAAAACACTAACCAAAATTTTTATTTTCCTAGGTTCTTCACTTTATACTCTTTCTAAGAGTATTTTGCCTTGGTATTACATAAATTTCTATTCACTTGAATTCCTAAGCCTGCAAACTCCACTGAGGATGATCATTTACACTAGAAGGCTGACCATTCACAGCTRTCAGATACATACCTGAATTAAGGAAAAACTGAGGAGAATCTCCATGAATGCCCACAATACCTGGCCCCAAGGAGTCAGACAGGGTATTCACAAAGGAAAACACTCCGCTCATGATTCCAAAGCCCAAGCCAGAAACTAAAAAGGAAGAAAAACACTGTTAAACCCTTTTCTTGCTATGATTTCTATTCAAATAAAAATTCTAAGAACTAGGGAATACTACTTTGCCAGAGCGGAAATGGTACATATGCTATTGTTGAAGCAGTGGCCAGCCAGCTCTGGAAAGGCATGTGCTTGCCTACATGATRAACAAAGAGAAATGGTAAGAGAAAGGGAAATGAACAGTGGGATGCAGCAGAGAAATGAAAAAAAAAAAGGATAGAAAAAGATCTAGAAACACAGAAGAAATAGATGAGGCAGAGGAGGATATGATGCTAAAGTTCTGGCTTTGGTTTATGGTAACAGAATCTATWGAGTTAAATTTGATGGCTTAGAACCAGAATTGAACTTGAAGGGTGACTGTGCATGTAAGGCTTGATCCTGGGCTCAATTTAGAGACCTAAGCCCAATCTAAAAACATAATTCTGTAAGAATAATATGCRAAGATATGCCTAAAAAAAGATATGCCTGAATTAATATAAAGAGTCCTCCTAGTGCAGCTAAAGTCATGGTAAACAATCAGGGAAAGTGAAAGCTATATCACTATGAAATTGTTGGTTAACTAGAATATAGTATATATATTAAAAACCTTTCAAACTTGATTAATATTTAATGAACATACAGAAAAAGGTAACCAGTAATCACTTTACTTCACATAAGGAACCAGGAAAGTTGTAAAAAAAACAAATAATATATGCCAATAAGTCAAGACAGTAATAAAATACTGCTTGAAACCTATTAAAGATACAAAAGATAAGATGAAGGTAGTGGGGTTCTTTTTGAACCGGGGATTGAACCCAGGGGTGCTTAACCACTGAGTCACATGTATTTTATTTAGAGACAGGGTCTCGATGAGTTGCTTAGGGCTTCACTAAGTTGTGAGGCTAGMTTTGAACTCATGAACCTCGTGCCTCAGCCTCCTGAGCTGCTGAGATTACAGGTGGCATGTGCCTCTGTGCCCGGCAAGATAAAGAAAGTTTTCAAGCCAAGTCTGATTTTTTTTTTTTTTTCTTAATGACATGGCATGGTTCTAACTTACCATAGGCCAGCAATCGCATGGAGGGTGCACTCTCATCTGGGTTTATGCTCTTCAAACCCTCACTGGCTTTTCTATAATAAAACCACACACATACATTTTTAAAAAAGAAGAAAARGCAGTATGTCAGGAAAGTACACAAGACACTTCAAATCCAGATACTTCCTAAGACTCTGATCAGGTTATACTCTAAATCTAGAATCCATTCAAACAAAACCCAGCACATTTTCAATTAAGTAAAATCAGCTGCAATTTCTAACTTCTGCCTTTTTTCTAAATGCTCATATAAAAAAGAAAAACATAGGTAAATAAGTCATGAAGAAATTAATTTAATAAGAAAAATAGCAACACTATATTTCTAAGCTCAATAAATATCTCAATATCCATGGAATTTACCACTCTGAACTTTTTTTCTTTTCCCAAAGCACTGTCTTCTTCTCCAMTTTATCTTTTATTAGGGCCACACTTACTGCCTCCTTCCCTTCTGTCTTGCACTCTGTAGAACCAAAACTTTTCTCCTTTTTCTTCCTTATCCTCCTCTATTCTCTCCTCCCTCCCTCCCTCCTTCTCTCTCTCTCTCTGCTGGGGATTGAACCCAGGATCTCACACATGCTAAGCACATGCTAAGCACATGCTATACCAGTGAGCCATACCCTCAGGCCCCAGGCAATAATTTCTTAAAGAAGCTGCCTCTTCCAATGGTTGATTATCACTAGTCCTCCTTACTCTTAAATCCTATAATACTGATGATCTGAACTCTCATAGGGGTACTTAATTATATCTGATTCTAAAATATTTTACATGTATATTTTATATCTCCAATAGACTTCAGGAAAGAAAACAACCTAATACTTTTATTATATCCTATAGAATGAAATGTTACAGGAATAAGAGGTAAATAAATATTTGAATGAAAGGATAGAATACTGCTCAACAAGAAATGATCTTCAGAGTGATCATATGCTTCCTTTATAGCCAATCCGCAAACACATCATTGAGCCWCCACTTTCCACCTGATATGTACAGAATGCTAGCTGTGGCTGGTCAGCTCCACTACAGGCACTATTGCTACTCCTTTTTGGCCTGGAACTACGCAACAGTGTAAGATTCTGACTTAAAGAATATTTAAATTATGTATACTGAAACACATGTTTACTAAAGTAATAATGGAAATTTAACATTTTTGACTCATTTGTCAGCAAGTGTTGAAACAAAAAGGAGAGAGATGAACTCTAAAAACACAAAACTAACCAGAACATTCTTACTTTCTGGCATTGTGTTAATTTAAATTTCAAGGTATGTAAATTCATTATAGACTACATTAAGGCAATGCAGAATTCAGCCAAAATACTAATATGCATAAGAAAAGTGTCCTTTGCTTTTGTGGACTCAAAAGAATAAGCCAGAAATTTAAGTGACAGTTTTCCTATTTCTTTGGAGCAGTAACCAACTAAATTATCCAATTTTCCTAAATAAAATAAACTTACCTATTACAGGGATCCTGTTAAAAACTAACTAAAGCTTATGAGTCATATATAATAGTAATGATCTCCTTSAACAAAGTTATCAATAAAGTAAAATGAATAAATTTTGTAGAATTTGTTTTATAAAAWGATTCAGGAATAAAAAATATTTTTACTATTTGGTATGGCAAAATACTGCTATCACAAATACATGAAATATATAAGTTCAAAAGTTTAGTAAACTTTCTCAGTCTATTTTACAGGAGTGTTTGAGAGGGAATGTTTTGGCACTAATAGTTCTCAGTGTTAACAGTAGGAAGTGAAAAAGCACAAAACATGATCAGTTTCCATGTTCCTGACGCACAGAACACATGACTGTTGATGCAAGTAGTAGTGTTTTCAATTTAACATTTTACGGAAGTGAAAAATTCTTTGTTTGCATTTATTATTGTATTTCCAAGAATGGAAAAAAGATCCCATTTTTAAAAATATAAACTTTGAAAAATTACTGGTAAACCATACTCTCTTTGTTTGTTCTATTTTCAAATGTATATATAATAGAGGTATGCATCAAGGACTATGCACACAAATTAAATACACCATTTTAGAAATTAAAAAATATATATATACTGATGCCTCTTAAAGAAAACTGTAGCAGAGCTATGGATATAGTTAGCGGTAGAGCACAAAGACCTGGATTCAATAACTACCAAAAAACAAACAGTGGTACATGCTTATAATCCCAGCAACTTGGTAAGCTGAGGCAGGAGGATCACAAGTTTGAAGTCAGCCTCAGCAACTTAGCAAGGCCCTCAGCAACGTAATGAGACCCCATGTCAAAATGTAAAAAGAGCTGAGGATGTATGTAGCTCAATGGTAGAGCATGCCTGGGTTCAATCCCCAGAGAACCAGCAACAAAAACAAACACCAGTGTGAACTCTTCACAATTTAATCCTGGCACCAAATTCAGGGAGCAAAATTTAACTGAAGCACTCCTTTAAACTTAAAAAGTTCAAAACCTACTTTGGCACTGGAGAGCATTAAACAAAATATTCATTAAASCAAAGACCCCGTATTTGAATGTAGTAAAGCATAGAAGAGAGCAATTTAAATGTATCCATGTAAGTGTTAGTTATCATTAAAGTGTCACAAAATTCTCAAATTTGTTTTAACTACATAATATCCAACATTTCTAGAAATTTCTAGGAAATTTTTGTAGAATATTTCAAAGGTTTATTAAAGATCCATTTTGCAAATGCAAACAAAAGCACCTGTTGACATGTTTGTTCTACYACCTTTTTGGAAAATTTCCACAGGTCCTTTTACAGGAGTACATGTGGTTTCCTGAAGAGCCAATGGTGATGTTGATAGGAAAAACAAGTGCAATGTGAAGCTGAGTTGAGAACACAGTGCCCAGGCAAGCACACTACTTAGACCACACTGCACAATACTATGCTAGGTTCTGAGCATGGGTAAAAATCAAGCACTGACCAAAAGGGGCATGTCCACTGACCAAAAAATAAACTTGGAAGCCACAACCATGTCTTCTGAGATCCACATGAAGAAATGAGGAATGTTTAGTCTTGAAAGGGACATGATGACAATCATGTGGCAAAGATTTCATTTATTTGGTGAGTGGGGCAGAGGTCAGAAGGAGAGAGATTTTGRTTACCTCAGTAATATTCTACAGTGAAAATTAAAATCATAGCACAGAAGTAATAGCTATATGCCAGAAACATTCAACCACTGCCAGATGTTCATCCATTAGTAGTCCTGTGAAAATTAAAWTTTTTTTCTTTCTTTTTGAGACAGGGTCTAACTATGCTGCTCAGGCTGGCCTTGATCTGCTGGGCTCAAGCAATTTTCCTAATTCAGCCTCACCTCCTGAGTAGCTGGAGCTATAGACACACACCACCACACATAGCTTTAAATGTTACTTTTGATATTTATTTATTGCTCTCCAACATTTCCAGGGACTAATTTCATGTTTAAACCTTTTCAATTTGTAATTTAAAGTGTTTTAGTATGAAAAGGAAATTCAATATCTAAAAGTAAAAAGTTAAAAATACAGAARGCCTAGCATATTAGCAAGAACAAATTACTAGAAGCCTATTAAAAGAGATGTTAAAGTTCAGTCTGGGTTATATCTATGAAATTCATGGACAGCTGTAATTACCTCATTTGCAGAAATGGATACAAATGGCACATTTATTATTCTACCAAGTCTTACTATGTAACYAGGGCCAATCTCATGACTGCCTGAAAGAAAATATCATTCCAAGTTTAAGTTGTGTTTCAAATCAGAAGTTTCATATGAGGTCCTCATGGGTACCACAGATGACATACTCTGTGGCCCAAAAGAGGGAACTTGTGCCCAAGTTTATTTTTTTTTTCCAAACTATAGAAAATACCATTAAACAAACCACTGCTGTGCCATAATATATTCAAAACAATGGAAGGCATAATCTCCATAAGAATTATCTTAGATGGTCGGAAAGAACACATAAATTCCAAGTTGGAAGCATTTTTGTTGTTTCAATGACTATTTCCCTAGGTTGCTTTTCTCCATGTTACTTCTTCTAATATACAATGTATTTTCTTGTTCATTTCTTGGCCCTTCTCCTCTTATGATAAACTCCATGAGGTCAGAGGTTTTTATAGTCATTGATGTATACCCAGTGCCTTGCATTGGCATTGACACTGTCTGGCATCAAATATATTCTCATGAATAATTTTTTGGAAGGGAGGCACAGTSGTGCACACCTATAATCCCACAGAGGCTGAGGCAGGAGGAACCAAGTTTATGGCCAGTCTCAGCAACTTAGGGAGACTATACCTTTAAAAAAAAAATTAAAAGGGCTGGGGATGTAGTTCCATGGTAAAGTGCCCCTGGGTTCAATCCCAAGTACCCTAAAAAAAATAAACAAGGCTGGGGATGTCGCTCAATGGTAAGTGCCCTTGGGTTCAATCTCCAGGACCCAAAAAAAAAAAAAAAAAAAAAAAAAGAAAAAAGAAAAGAAAGAGAGAAAAAGAAGATTATGTTTTAAAAGGAAGGAAGGAATCTACACAAGTTAAAGACTCAATATTTTCAGGCTGGAAATATCAAGAACTATGTAGTAAAGTACGGATCCTCAAATACTATAGGATTATTAATATTTCACATTACCAAATCATAATTCAAATCTAACTAGGGGAAAAYGATACAGCAAACAACTTACTTTAAAAGTCTGTAATAAGCAAATCGGAACATTTCTTGGATAATGACTGAAACCAACACTCCGAAGATTAGCACATATTTCTGTGTTGGTCCATCTTTGTTCTCAGTAATGTGGCTTGCTATGAACCATAAAAGGGATGAAAGGAGTAGAGACACCAACCAGAAGAAAGCTCTGAAAATCAGGAAAAAAAATTATAAACATAAGGATTAATAATGATTTTAAATGGGGACCAGGAGCCTGACTGGGAAGGAATAGATATCCTGAATTTTAAATAAGAAATCCTCATAAAGCAGTACTTTGGATCAATTGTTCTTAATGGTGCATTGTCTGTGGTGAGACAAACATGTGATCTAAGAGGAAAGTGAGATTTGCCCAACAATTACTTGTTTCAGTGACCCTATTATGTGCAAGTGCATCTGCAAACTCTACTTACCAAAGACTACCTGACAGGAACCCTTGTTACTCTCTTTTCTTCCTAATGCTCTGCTCACTGATGTGTCAAAACCATAAAACATACAACTTTGTGATTATTGCAATTTTCATATCCTTCAAATCTGCCAGAAATTAAGGACTCAATGTTCAGATATCCGCAAAGATGTGTTTTCAAGGAGGGAAAAAAAGTCTACTCTCTATTAATAGAGTGACTGGTGAAAATCCAGAGGGTGAAAATCTAGATCAGTTATTTCCAAGTTTGGTTCTTACAACACTCGTGGGGATTTTAATGATCACAGCGAGCTTTACAAAAGGGGTTAACCCAAATCTCTTGTTTTTAAAATGACACATGTGATATAGCACATTCAATACAGTTGCAGGAGGCAACTGTAAATAAAATAAAGGAATCATTGGCTTTGCCAGTAAGATTTGTAGGGGAAGGCAGATGTGGCATGAACCAATGAGAGCCATCAGGCAGGTGAAAATGAGATTATGACCACGTTCACCACCAGAGTTTGGTATTTACCAAGCTCCCAAAAGGAGATGCATGATCAGGTGCTCCTGTGTTTTCATAAATTTTCAACCTTTGGCTGCACACACACCTGAATCACCTAGGGAGCTTTAGGGAAAAAAAGAAAAAAGAAGAAGAAGAAAAAGAGCCTGAGCTCGAATCCCACACCTTAGACATTCTGGTTCAGTGGATCTAAGGTCGGGAGTGGGCATCCGTATATTTTAAAGTCCCCAGGTGTCTCTAGTTGCTGAAGGGCGAGAACTACTGTGCTAGGCAGTAAAGRCTATTTAACCGTCAGTGATTACAGATGCCTTTGAGAATTTGAGAAAATTGGAGACTACCTCTCCAGAAAAATTAAGGTGCCTATAGGAAYTTATCCAATTTTTTTTTCTCATAATTTTAGTGGCTTCATAGCCCACTAAGGCCCACCCACGGATTTGCGATGCCTGCCATGCATCAGGGGGTTCTGAGACCCACAATGTGAACCCCTTCTTCAGAACCCGCAGCTGAGGTCTCCGGGCTCTGGGTTTTTTTTTTCCCCACAGGCCCAGGAGGAGGGCAAGGAGCCTCAGGGGTCCCGGGTCTTGGTTCCCTGGTCTCAACCCTCCTCCGATCCAAAACCTAGCAAGGTCAACTCTTTTGATGGGGACGCCGAGGGTCGCGGGTGCCCCAGGCGGGGGAGGGGGGCCCCAGYGTCTGGGTCTGCTAGCGCAACCGCCTCACCCGGCGATGAGGAAGATGACGCGCAACGGCTCGATGGCGATGGTGAAGACGTAGAGGGCAAGCGCAGGCCCGAAGGCAATGAAGGTGCAACCGAAGAACACGGCCGCCGTCATGGCGACCGCGGAAGCCAGCCTGGGGGCCCGGCAGGGACCCGAGAAGCGCCCGGCGCCGTCAGAGCTGGGGGCGGGGAGAGGGGCGGGGCCATGAGACATCCGGGCGCGGTCGGGGGCAGGGCGCGGGGCGGGGCCAAGAGGTATCCGGGCGCGGTCGGAGCCGGGGGCGGGGCCGCCAGGTGCCCAGGGCTTTCATATAATACAGCTACAGATATTTAATTCTTATGGTAAACCATGACCTTTGCCCATTTTTTTTATATTTATTTTTTAGTTTTTTTGGCGAACACAACATCTTTGTTTGTATGTGGTGCTGAGGATCGAACCCGGTCCGCATGCATGCCAGGCGAGCGTGCTACCGCTTGAGCCACATCCCCAGGCCCGACCTTTGCCCATTTTAAAGTTAGTTTTTCTACTTATTTCACTGCGTAGTTCTTCAGACATCATCTATATGTTTTGGTTGAAGCTGCCTCACTTTGGAAGTAAGCGAAGTAATGAATGATAACTAAAATGGTCTATAACAATGTCCTTATCCCACCCTCAATGCGCAGTACGATGTGGGGGAATCTGCGGTTATTGTATATTGATCATATTTTAGTTCAATTTTAGTCCCTAAGTCTATTTTAAAAACGAGAAGGCAATGAAAAAAAATGTGGTGAGCCTGCCCCTCTACATATAAAGACATCTTTACCTGATGTCTGTTGGAACAGAAATTAACTAGAAAACTAGTGAAGGYACCACTAAAATATCGTCTGCAGCACTCATTATTATTCACTAGAAAAACATTGTTTCAAACAGTCTCTGAATCATAATTCCATCTTACATTTATCTAATACATTGCTGTTTAAAAGTACTGGGCCAGGGGTGTAGCTTGGTGGTACAATGCCTGCCTATGTGTGAGACCCTGAGTTTGATCCCAGCACATACATACATACATACATACACACACACACACACACACACACACACACACACACACACATTCTAATAATATTTTTTTAAAAAATCACCTTTACAATGATTTCAAAAATCCTATTACAAATGAGAAGTTTAAGGCTAAGTAGCAGTGCTATTGACTCAAGTTTTTATAAACATATTGTTAAGTGTCCCCCAAAACTTGAAAACATAGGTACTAAGTGATGTTGGGAATTAAATCCTTAAAAGATGACTAGGAAAAAGAGAAGGCAGGCACCTACAATAGATATAGCTATAAAATGCTAAGAATTCTTCCAACTGTGCATATACTAGCGAGTGCAGTTAAATTTTGCATTCTGGTAATACTAATAGATCTATATTTATTCATTCAAAATATGTACTAAATATTACTAAGTATTAGACACAAATCTAGGTATTTGGAATATACCAATGAAACAGATGTGTTCCTGTCTCCATGGAGCTTAAAATCTAGTGGAGAATCCAGATAAGCAAGTACGGGATTCTACGAAAATATGCAGGGAGAGAGAAAGGCACACAGTCCAAACTCATGAGGTTTTTGCCAAAGAGAAAGGCATCCAGTCCAAACTCATGAGGTTTTGCCAAAGAAGGTAATGCCTTACTCATATTTATCTAATACATTACTGTTTAAAAGGTATCAGCTCAGGAGTTAGCAAAGATAAGAAAGAGGGAGGAGATGGAAGGATAAGTGGAATGTGGTCAAAAATGAAGAAAACATTCTGAGRATGGAAAACATTCTGGGAGTCAGAGAGTAGTTCACAATGGCCTGGATGTGTGAGGAGAAAGACAAGAGGTAAGACTGGAAAGGCCAGTGGGGGGTGATCACAAAGGGCCTTGTAATCAGTTTTATGGGTTTTAGAGTTCACCTAAAGTGAGCTTTAATCAGGTGAGTAACAAAATCAGATCAGATATGGAAACTGAGATTCCAGATAGGAGGTGCTAGGTGTATTGTCAGGATGAGATAAAAAAAAGGTCTGAATCAGAGTAGTTACAGGAGTTTGGAGAAAACCAGAGAAATTTAAGAGAGAGTCAGGAATAGTGCATACAGAATTTAGTGACTAATTAGTTACATGAAGTGAGAGGAAAAAGTGAAGGAAAATGGATTCTAGAGATTTTTAGCTTAAAAGGTTGCTATGAAGATGGGAGGAGGAGAAAATATGGGAAAAAGACACAATAATAGGTACCATTTTGGATGCCCTGAGATTTAGATGCTTRTACGATAGCATGTGGAGGTGTTCAGTAAGCAAACTGAATAGAMAAGATCAGGCGAGATCTGGACTAAAAATCCAGAATTGAAACTTTGCATAATWCTTGGAAACTTAGGAGTGGATATAATCACCTCAAGTGTTGCCAGAAACCAATGTTTCAGGTACAAGAAGAGGAACCACAAAAKAAACTGAAAAGGAACAACTAGGAAGGTAGCAAGAAACTAGGAGCATGGTAGTGTCACTGAGGCAAAGGAGAAAAAAAAWTTTCACAAAGGAGGATGTGGAGAGGTTAAGCAAGGTACTAGTGAAATGTGTCCACTGGATCTTGCTATAAGGAAGTCACTTGTGTATGTAACACACAAACAGGTAAAAAGCCATTCTGCAAAGTGTTCTTCAACTAGTATGTGGTAAGAAAGAGACATTTGGCTTCGGAGGAGAGGAGACAGGAAGCCAGTTAAGGGAGGACAGGAGATAGAGGGATACATTTAGTTTTATTAGTAACAAATGCTAGTTTTCATCCTGCTGGGCAGGATAAGGAGGGTTCATAGTAGTAGGACGGAGTGAAGCTACTGGCCCTGCAGGAGTTAATCTGAGGACCCAAGTCTCATTAAACACTGATTTTATTGATGGTACTGTGTTGAGAGCCACAGCCAGTACTGAATGAGAGTCTACAGGAAATAATACTTAGAAACCAGAGAACAAAGTAATAACCACACTTTTATAGAAAATTCAGCTTTAAAAATATTCACTATTTGTTTTTAATACAATGCAAGAAGAARAAAATATGAGATAAAGATAAGGGAGGAAAAATTAGTCATAAGAATCAGAGAAACCATTACTTAACTACCTAATTCTTTCAATGAAGCCTTTTTTATAACTCAAGAAAGTCCATTGAACTTAAATTCCAAATTTATAAACCAAAAAAGAAARCTTCACTTAGATATCAGAGACAAATTGTAATTATGGTAGGGATATCAAGTAGTCTGCCTTGGAGAAATTGAATAGTGTTTCATAGAATATTAGGGCTGTGAATAGACTGGGGGTCATCCAATATAATTTTWAAAAAAGGCAAAGACAACAGATAAGGAAGAAACCTAGGAAAATGCAGGTGGGTCTCAATGTCTTGGTGCAGTTGGATCTGGTATAAAGAAGCCTTTATTAAAAACAAGAATTCCAGGTTCCAGAATAAAGCACCCACCTGCATTTCCTAAGTTTTGTCCCTTTTATTACTTTTATAATTGTATTACTCAACCTTCTGTTATTGTGGAAAAATGCCTGATAAAATCAACTGAAAAGGAAGAAAGATATTGGCTCACAGTTTGAGGTTTCAGTTCATGTTTGGCCCAGTCACTTTGGGTCTCTAGTGAGGAAGTACATCATGGTACTGAAAACATGTGGCAGAAAAGGCTGCTCATCTCAATGCAGCCAGGAGGCAAAAAAAAAAAAAAAAAA